CCTATCCCACCACCTTAATTGATTTACACCTAGCAAAATTAATTGTGTAATAGACAGAAAGAATCAAAGAACCAGACAGAGACCATACAGACAAACAATAGAGAAGTGGGGACCATAAAGATAAAACAATAAAGAAATGAGGATTTCACAACCACAACTATTGATCAGTGGTTTCTTGCCTGACAGAATGCTATCAAACTAAGTTTTCTTTAACCATCTTAAGATCTCTTTCTTTATCTGGTGATGGTGGACAGGATCGTCTTCTGAACAGCCCGATATTACATTGTTTTAATATAATTTAGATGGAATGTGAGGATGTGACTTTAGTGCGCTTTCCTAATATGGCTGCAGACACGGGCCTTAGGCCTTACAATGTGGCTACAGGAAAAGGCCTTTTCCTTACAGGGCCAAATGTGAGCAAGTGGCACTGTGACCCCATGTGCCAGGTTGCAATGCCACGCACACAAATTTGGGCGAGGGGGCCAGGCCAAACCTGAGTGGTGCTGTGATCCTGGAGGTCACAATGCTGGGTGTGGGGAGCTGAGCTCAGCTAGCCCTGCAGGACAGAAGCTGCAGGAACTGGGACTATGGTGTACTTAGTACGGTGTACTTAGTTAGTACTTATTATGTTAATGTGTATATTATATATTGTGGGTAAAACATATTTAATAACTCAAGTGTTTTGTACTAAAGCTATTCGCTGGATTGCAACAGGCCAGCCGGGTTTATAAACGAGTCCTGAAGGTTGAGAGCCACCGTAATAGAGCTCCAGGAGGATTTTAGGGAAACAGAATATAGATACCCCAATTAAGAACTAGCCAGTGCCCCAGGCTAGAGAGGAAAGAAGGAGAAACCCAGGGGGTGAATAAGAGCCCTGGGCTCCTGTCCCTGAGGAAGGGCGTACCAGAAGGGTGATGGATAAGGAAATGTGATAAAGCTCTGTGGTAAAGCACAGTGGGCCATGAATGGCTGCAGGGTTGCAGTTAACATCTCCCCCAGATGGGGGCACAAGAAAAGCAGAAGCCGTGGGGAAAAGTCTCAGATCGGGTTTGACATTTCAAGCCCTTTTTTGGCCTCTTTCCCCCCCAGACTCAGCGTCTGATGCAGTGCCTCCCCCCACAGATACACACGCTCATGTGCGATCAAAGGCCTCGCATTTAGCACAATCAGCCTTTTTTTCCACAGCTGGTAAAATCTAATCCAACAAGCCCGGTTAGAGTGGGCAGCAGCCGCACGGGTAGAATGCAGCCGAAAGCTGGTGCCCCGGGGAGCCTGGCCTCTGTGATATTTTAGACGTTTCTACCTTGTGCTTAAGGAAGAGGCCCTTGTTGTGGCATTCTTTTCCACGCGTGCAGGGAAAGAAGACAAGGGACAAATCAAACCGACCAGCGAGTGTTGCCAAAGCAGCGGAAAGTTGCTGCTGCTGGGGTGTTGCTGTGTGACTGCACTGGGGCAGGAGAGAAGCCAGGGGAATATCTGAGGTCTTGTGGGGGGCAGCGCTTCAGAGTCAGGGACAGGGGGCAGGCAGGGACAGGGGGCAGGCAGAATGGGCTGGTGGAGAGGCCTGTGAAGGAGCAACAATTGCTGCAATTGTCAAGCGAGTGTTCTAGGAGCAGGGCCAGATTAACCCACCCCAGGGCTCTAGGCAAACATACAGTTCTCCCACCCAGGGCGGATGCCCGCCCCACACACCCCATAGTGGCGGCTCCTCTCCCATGGGGCTGGGCCCGGCTCCCTGCTCGGGGGGGTTGTGACCTGGTGCATGGGGTTCCGGCCCTGCTCAGGTTTCGGCAGCTCGTCTGCATGTGAGTGAGGCAGGCCGTCCCTGTCACTAAGACCTTGCACAATGTCTGCATTTGGGACCAATTTTCAAGTGTTCATAAAAAACCCAAGCCCCAAACCCCTAGAACAAAAACAGGCTGGATTTTTGATGGACACTTGAAACCTTCCAACTCGCTTAGATAGATGCTAGAGAGAAGGGGCCTCTTTTTTAAGGTTATGGTGAGGCCAAAAAATCTCCAAAGAACGCTCTTTCTTGTGAGATTTTGGCCCAAGAAGGCAGAAATCTCACAAGCTCACCTGAGTTCACATGATTTCTGCTGCGGATGGTTACTGACATTTCAAGAACGCAGAACACAAGTTTTCCTTGCCATTAAGTTCTGTCTCAGGACACTAGCCCAGATTCAGCCTCGGGTCTAAACCCAGATCCCTGGCATAATGGGTTTCCCTTTACCGCAAGCGCACTTCCTCCTGGCCAGGCATGTAGGGTATCTGCCTGGTCTGGCACCCCCTTCTGTCTCTTGTTTGTGCTGTGTCCCCGTTCACGTCCCAGGAGCTGCAGTGCTCCTTGTTGGTGGCTTGGCCCTCCAGCCAGGTCACCATAGTTTTCCCCTTCACGGGTTTCAAAGTCTCACTGGACTGGACTGGCTGTGCAGGTATCGTTCCCAGCAGTCCTCCAGTTCAAGGCTATGCCACTTTGTCAGTGGCTGCTAGGGGGAACCCCGGCCTGCCCGCTACTCTGGGTTCCAGCCTAGGGACCCTACACTCCACAGCCAAGGCCTGCTCCATCCCAAACCTTGCTGCTGTGTCCCTAGACTGCTTCCTACTTGTCTCTATCACATTTCCTTATCCATCACCCTTCTGGTATGCCCTTCCCTCAGGGAGAGGAGCCCAGAGCTCCTATTCACCTCCTGGGTTTCTCCTTCTTTCCTCTCTAAGCCCAGAGAGTGCCTGCAGGCTTCCACATGGCAGCTCCCTGCTACTACAAATTTCCTCTCTTTATAATCCTTTCCCAACTTCTCTCCCACCCAAGCTTCATCGGCAATTAGTAATTTATAAACCCCTGGGCCTCCCCCCAGGTGCAACTGAAAGGGTTCATTAGCCTTTTCTGGGCCACCTTAACCTTTTCAGGGCTGATGTGGGATGAACATCCCATCAGACCTACGTTACATTAGATATGCTCCAGCCCCAGATCTGAAATCTTACCATTTGGCCCATCTCTATTTAGCAGACTGGCCCCGTGCCATCTAGACCAGTGGCTCTCAATCTTTCCAGACTACTATACCCCTTTCAGGAGTCTGATTTCGCTCATGTACCCCCAAGTTTCACCTCACTTAAAAACTACTTGCCTACAAAATCAGACCTAAAAATACAAAAGTGTCCCTGCACACTATTACTGAAAAATTGTTGACTTTGTCAGTTTTACCATATAATTATAAAATAAATCAATTGGAATATAAATATTGTACTTACATTTCAGAGTATCGTATATAGAGCAGTATAAACAAGTCTGTATTAAATTTTAGTTTGTACTGACTTCACTAGTGCTTTTTATGGAGTCTGTTGTAAAACTAGGCAAATATCTAGATGAGTTGATGTATGTACCCCCCGGAAGACCTCTGTGTACCCCCAGGAGTATGCGTACCCTTGGTTGAGAGCCACTGATCTAGGCCACCCTGATGCTGGATTTAAATGCTGTCATTGAACTAACCACAACAGCCCGGTTCATTTCTGCAAGCACGGAAATTTATCAGATCACAATGACAAACAAGAACAAATCACAAATTTTCCCCTGAGACTTTCTAAAGGTAATGAGCTTCCATTCAAGAGATGCAGGAAGAACCATAGAACAGGGCGGTTTCATCATAGTTGATTTCCTATGCAAATGTTAGTCAGCACAGCAGACACATAGAAGCAAAGTTGGTTAAGATGGAAAAGACTGAGGTGCTATGGGTCATCTGTCATAGCTTTTTCTAAGGCCCTTTTTCACACTGTGGTATCTAATTGTCCTCTAGCCCTCTTCCTTGCAAAACTGGCCTTAAGATTTTCTGTACACAGTTCCTTTGTGTGTGTGGGAAGCACCTTCTGAATATAACATTTATCTTTAGGTTTCAGAGTAACAGCCGTGTTAGTCTGTATTCGCAAAAAGAAAAGGAGGACTTGTGGCACCTTAGAGACTAACCAATTTATTTGAGCATGAGCTTTCGTGAGCTACAGCTCACTTCTGTAGCTCACGAAAGCTCATGCTCAAATAAATTGGTTAGTCTCTAAGGTGCCACAAGTACTCCTTTTCATTTATCTTTAGTCCTCTTCATTTCAGACAGTTATAGTTTGGGAGAGGGGTTGGCAGAAAAATCTACCGTCATCATCTTCTTCAAACTCTTGAGTGTGGGCACAAGCTGGTACTCTTGTTGGTAGTCTCAGCTCATGGAGCTATCTCTCTCTCTCTCTCTCTGTGTCTCTCTCTCTCCCTGGATAACTCAGGGGATTGATAAGGGTCTGTAGGTTGTAGGTCTGAATCCAAGCTAGGTGGGTGATGAATCAAAATGGCTGCCATCTAATGGCTGTTTGGCCTACATGAACTGAGTTTGGTGGCCTCACTCCAGTTCCCCGTCAGCAAGTGTCCCCATCTCAAGCCATTGGCATTAGCTAATGCCCCGGTTGGGAATCTCAGCTGAGAAGCCAAGGAGCAAATGGAGACCGTGGGGACCGAGAGACCCTTTCTGCCGCTAGAGGTGACCACTTAAGGGCAAAGGCTGAGGGGACCTGGTGGGGGCTTAGGGGAAGTGTGATGTACTTGCTGTCTGGATAAACAGAGGAGTCCCGTCTCTGGAGCTGTCAGGCCGGGAGCTGTCAGCAGCCCTATAAAAAGTCAGAATAAATAATACAGAGATAAGCGCTCTCCCAGCCACAAGCAGAAAACGCAGAGCCGTTTGCCTGGCAGGAGCAAACCTGTGGGTGACGTCAAGTGTGGGGCAAAGGAAGTGCGGCTCCGGGCCCCCTCCCCCTTCGCTTGTGGTCTCGTGCCTCAGACCCCTAACGTTCTGCTGATGCCGCTTTCTCTTCTTTGCGGGTGGATGGCGCGTGGGAGCCTGCCGAGGCTCCTGGGTGCGGAGCGGGGGAGCGGGGCCGGGCGCAGCTGTCGAGCTGTGTCAGAGGAGAAGGAGGAGGAGGGGAAAGATGGGGGCGGGAGGCAGGGAGGGTTTCCCTCTCAAGCCGAGATGGGTACGTTTCATTTCCACTTCTGCTTCAGCTGCAGTCAGTCGACAGCCGCCGTGCGGCCCCTGGGGGGAACAGTGCCACTGGGATACGAGGTGGCCAGGCCAGGCCCCGGAGTGCCCTCCCGCCACACAGCACAGACATAGCAGCTTGGATCCTGACTGGTGCATCGCACGTGCAGGGGAGGAAGCCAACCCCCAGAGGGCTCCCGGCCCCTCGAAGGCGACGCCAGGGACGATGCTTGTTCTCGTTGTCGGCATCTGTGCGGTGCTGCTGACCTGCAGGCCAGTGCTGCTGCTCTCCCAGCTTGGTATGTATCTGGGCCGCGCGACACGCTCACAGCGCTCCTGAACACAAAGCTGGTGCGGCTTATGGCTGGCGGGGAGCGTCTGCTAGGCTTAGAGCCGCACAAGCAGTGGCAACAGCCCCGGCAGCGAGAAGGCAGGAAAGCCAAATGCCGGATCTGAAATGCCCAGGCAGCCAGCATCTGGGAAGAGACCCCGGGATAGAAACAAATGCAAATGTTTGGCGTGGATGCGGGGCCCCGATCCGGCCCCCATCACCACTCAGTTTGAAGGTAGAAGCCTGAGAATAGTGGAAGGGGAAACGAATAGTTGGAGGGAGCTGGGGGGGAAGGCAGTGGAATGGGTAGATGTATTATAATATTAAAAATTGGGTTTGGCAAAACTTTTTGGACCTTCCCCCTGCCCTCCAATCCCCCCTTCATTCAGGGCCTGATCTCTGAGGTTCGGGCCTTTAATCCATTGTTGTTCAGGGGATCTTCTGAAAATGGAATGTGGTGTGGTCTGGTACAGATCATGGGGCTGAGAGTCAGGACACCCGGGATTCTGTGCCTGCTTTGCCCCTGACTTGATGTGTGGCCAGGCCATGTCCTGTCTCTGTGCCCCGGGGGGGGGGGGGGCATCAGTAAAAGGCGGTCAAGGAGATGTACCCACATTTGTAAAGCACTCTGAGATCCGTAGGTGACAAGCCCAGACAAAATGCCATGGCTGGAAAAATGAAACAAAAATATGCGACTGTAAGTGACTGGCACCTTGTGCCATGGGAACAATAAAGACTCTGGCCTGAAAGTCATTGTCTGGCTTCAAGGCTGAGCTAAGGGGAAAAGAAATCAAATCAAAGGCATGTGAAAGCACAGAAATCAAATCTGGCAGAGCCAAAATGAACTCCAGCTGTGATGAGTTCTTGAGCGGGTTCTAAATGTGGTAAAGTGAGTTCTGGAAATGAGCAATGTCTGGATTTTGTTTTAGAACTAGTAAAAAAAAAGCAGTGTCAGGTCATAAAGTCCTTTACCCGCTGCAGTCAGGGCAAACAGCTGCATTTTGTAAAAAAACCCAAACCCCAAACCTGTCTAATATTTTCCACGTCAAATAAAATCCAATCACGCAAATTAAACCATATTGACAAGTGCAAAACCCAGACAAACTCTTTTGCCTACTTAAAGAAAAGGAGGACTTGTGGCACCTTAGAGACTAACACATTTATTTGAGCATAAGCTTTCGTGAGCTACAGCTCACTTCATCGGATGCATTCACTTATGCTCAAATAAATGTGTTAGTCTCTAAGGTGCCACAAGCCCTCCTTTTCTTTTTGCAAATACAGACTAACACGGCTGCTACTCTGAAATTTGCCTACTTATTAATTATTATTATTATATGTGTGGTACCGTAGCACTAGGAGCACCAGTCATGGACCAGTATCCCAGTGTGCTAAGTGCGGCATCCTCATCGAGCAAAAGGACAGCCCTTACCCCAAAGAGCCTACTATGGGAATCTGCAATGATTCCCCAGTTGTCTCTTCTCATCTGAATGTCCGCAGTCATTTATTCATAACCAGGGGATATGCCGTCTCACAACAGACCAATTGTCCTTCTAATCCCCTATCTCATAAGCAAGCCTCGTAACTTCTGTAAACTTCCTTGCCTGTCTGAAATGTCCATAGAAGCTGAGGGAATTGTGTGCCAGCATTCACGATTGGACCCAGGAGGTTTTGATCTTCTGTGTTTAATAAAAGGGATTTATGTGTTTATTAATCTCTGGAGCTTTCAAGGGGATTGTCAGCTCGGATCACTGGCTCTTGTAATCTGTGAGAGAAACGGCTTGTTACTACTTTTCCCTGGGAAATCGGAATGACCATTAATTTAATGTCTGTCTCTCAAGATGCGTTAGTAAGGGGCTCAAGTCAAAAATCTGGATTTAGATCTGGATTTCCAACACTGTTATCTAGCTGGGCTCAAGACCGGGTCTAACCTGGAGAGAGAGATTTATTGGGGAAAGCGCCCGAGAAGCTTATTATCAATAATTCATGATAATAATTGTGGGGTGGACGGTGAACCTCTTCCTCCCAATGAATCTAGCTCCATTGGCTTCAGTCAATGGAATTAAAGGCTTCCATTCTGGGTTTTATATATGAAGCCCTTCCCTCATCCAGTATTTTGCCAATGATGCTCATAAGCCATTAAATTACAATCATAAAATAGATCATGTCAAATGTTAAGTAGTGGCCGGGTTAAGAGGATTAACGTTAGTGTCCCTAGAGCATATGGCTGCAGCCCTGTACACTCCTGTAGCCGAAATACAAGCACTACCCACCAGTGTGCCCATCTGCAAGGCGGTGCCAATTCTGTTCTGGGCTCACTAGTGTTTATCAGCCGGGCGTCCGTGCACCAGTGCTTTGAAGAAGTTGTCCCAGCTTTTGAACAGTCTCTGGGAGGAACCCCTCTAATGTGCCAGACCCCCAAGGGGTCCCACTCTTTCTTCAGAGTTGGCCATACTGCCTCGCTGCTTCCTAGACTGAGCTACTCAGCTCCAGCACTCCTGTTTCACACCAGGAACTCTGCTCAGCGAGTCCAACTGAGACTCCAGGTCAGCACTGGTCCCCTCCTGAGAGACTAGTTCACCTCATCTTGTGTTTCCAGGGACACTCAAGCAGCGTAGGATTCATTAGTCACCTGGGACACAGCACTGGAAGTCCTTGGGTTAGTGCAAACAAATAGAGGTGAAAGCGTCGTCCATTCTGGTCAAGCCAGAGCAATTCCCCAGCCAAGCTGTTGTGAGTTCCATTTGCAGGCTCTGTCTCTGTCTGACTGCCTTAGTCAGTCCCAGGAGAGAGTGTAAAGCTGCCGGCCGTGACTCAAGAGCGTGCATATCAACCTCAGGGCAGACTGCCAGGAAGCAGGGCACAAACCCCAAACTGGCTGTGAGCTCTATACTTAGATTTCACCAACCAAATGCCAAGTGTAAGCTCCTCAGGCATTGTAACAGCCTTAACATGGAATCACAGACGGTCCCCTTGCATTCTCCGATCTGTCTCGCCACCCTGCCTTTGTGATGGATGGTCCTTTACACCAAGAATCACAGCAACATTCAGGTTACTTCCAGCCCCAAAGGACCAGTCACTTATCCCAGGTCAGTTGCACCTTAGATCTTACACCAAAGACAAGGCTTGTAGCCAATCCCATAATAAACTATGTACAGATTTATTAAGTATGTAAAGGAAACAGGAGAGTTATTTACAAGGTTAAAGCAGGCAAACATAGATACACAAATGAGTTATGATCTTAAGTTTCAAAAGGTAATAAAAGCAAGCTCTCTATGTCCTTTAGGGCTACCCCAGGCTAAGCACTGGGGATCTCTTGCTTGTGCCTAAAAACCTTGTCCCCTGGAGTCCAAGCAGTATGGACATAGTTAGTTCCTTCTCTTTGGGGTTTTTATCTCCCTCCTGCCATGTGCTCAGGGCTGCAAACTCAGCTGATGGGAGGAATTCCCTTGCATGACTCCTTGCCATGCAGGGTGTGAGGGGAAGAGCAGGACAACTGAGTCTTTTGTCCTTTTTAATGATAATAGTTGGGCAGGGCATAACACCTTCTGTTAGAGATCAGCACTTTATACTAGTTCATGTCTCTTTCCTGTCTGGTGATTTACACAGCCACAGAGGCTCACAATACAAATATTGCCATACACTATGGGATACAGATGTTATAAGTGAGGTTAATGTAGGCAACACCTTACCAGCATTCAATAAAGTCTAAATGCATTCTTAGAATTCTTACACCTATTTTAACCATATTAACACACAGGGGAGCCAGCCTGGCTCCAGCTCTGTATCTCTCAGGCATGGGGATCTGGCATGAGCTAGCACCTGGTCTGCCAGCGTCACAGAGAGCCAGAAACCAGTGCTGTATTCCCTGCTAGTCACCTCTTAGCCCTTTGTTCTCCAGGCCAGGCCATGCTGAGTTCGCAGCCCTCATGCACGGATGCCCAGCCGATAAACACTAGTGAGCCAAGACCAGAATGGGCACCTCCTTGCAGATGGGCACACGGGTGGGTATCGCTCGTATTTAGGCAACAGGAGCGTCTGGGTCATTGATTGCTGGGTGTAAGTATTTGGCCCATTGGGGTTTTCCATTGTCTTCTCGCATTTTCCATTGATATGATTTGGCCTCGGCCAGTTCTTTTAATGAGCCATGCAGTTTGTTCAGACAGCTCGGTGACACCTATGTCTCTTAGTCTGTCCTGACAGCCAACTTAATTCTTTCCCCTTTGCTGGGTAGGTTTTTAAGGCCTGGCTTGACAAAGCCTTGGCTGGGATGATTTAGTTGGTGTTGGTCCTGCTTTGAGCAGGGGATTGGACTAGGTGACCTCCTGAGGTCTCTTCCAACCCTAATATTCTATGATTCTATGAGTCTATGAATGCAAAACATAGGGGGAAACCGAGGCACACATAGGCTTCATGTTACAAAAAATTCCCACTTTGTCACAGGGGAGCTCCCACAGGGATAAAGCATTTCCTTGCTAGGCAATGAGTTCAAGTCACAGGCTGGTCATTGTCTGCCAGCAGCTGGGTGGCCTCAGGGAAAGGAGCTGGTGGTCTCAATCCAGGGCCTAGCGGGCACGTCTGACACGGTTGCTGGCAGTCTCAGTGGAGTGGCTGAGGACTGTAGTTTCCCTGGTGGCTCTTGCTCTGATCCCACGGGGTGATCCCTCCAGGGCTGAGGCACATTAGACGGATTATTAATGATTGCAGGGGACGGGGGCAGATGGGGACAGTTAACACTTTATTTAAAATGATATTTTAAAGTGATCATGATGATTTCGATTGGTGTCGCTGTGGTTGCAGTAGTGCTTAGAAACACACAGTCAGAGAGCCGTCCCCCTTCTGCTAGGACCTATGCAAATATTCAGTGTAAAGACAGCTCCTGCCCCAGACACTTACTTCACTGCTGAGGCTAAGGCAAGAAGCAGTGGGTGGGTGGGTGAGGCAAGAAAGGTGACAATAATGGATACAGGCCAAGATTTGGGGCGAGGGAGGGGCCAGTGCACCTTTAAGGAGCAGGGCCAGTGCATCTGTGCTGGGCCAGCTGGCCCCAGTGGGCTATAAGAGGAGGCCCCTGGGGCCCCTGGGTGAATCAGGGCACAGAGTCAGTCTGGAAAGGGGGAAGAGAGAGAACAGATGTGGGGTACTCACTGGGAATAGGGAGAGAGGCCAGAAGCAGGAAGATCCTTGGGAGTGACTACTAGAGTCCCCTGGGACTGGAGCGTGCAAGAGAGACCGGATGAGACAGAGGCCGCAGAAGAAGGGCTGGAGATGGGAGCTGCCAGAGGTGGCGGGTTTGGGACCTGGGAGAAGGCAGAAGAGCAGCGGAGGAGCTGACTGTTGCTATCTCCAGGGCTAGAGCGCTGGACCCCAAGGAACTGGGAGAGGGTCGGGGGGTGGGGTGTGTGTGTGACGGATACTCGGCTGTGTGTGTGTGGGGGGGTTCCCGCTGAGAAGAGCAGGGTTGTACTCTAATTAGAAGGACTGGGGTGGCTGTCCCGGGCCAGAGGAAAAGACAAGGACTTACAGAGAGTCCGGGCATGGTCCAAGGTGCTGGGCTGTGTTAGGTGGGCATGGAGGGATGAGATGTCTTGAGTTTTAAAGATGGCTTACACTGTGTATTGGAAATAGATAGTGATTGGGACTTGGGGTTATGGACTTATTTGCATCATGTTTTCTTAATGAACTGTCCCCAAGGAGGGATATTATTGAAGCAAGAGAGCCTGGCGTAGAACCCATGGGTTACCAGAGGGGGGAACTGAGGCATGTATGCCTGACATGCTGTGGCCTGCCGCATGGGAATTCTCTGGGTCAGCCTGCTCAGTACTTGAAGATCAGGTCCCTTGCGGTGTCTAGTTGGGCGCCTAAAATAACTATTCATTTTGGAAAGCCTTGGCCCTCGGGGGTCTCTGTGTATGATCTAGAGTCCACTGTCTCCCTCTTTGCACCCTTGAATCATCACTTGCCTCAGTCCTGTGGTGATGCCATAGGCCATTCTCTACCCTCAGTCGTTGGCCCAGTCCACGCAGCTGACGTCAACGGGAGTTCCATAGGCCGAGCACATGTATGATATGACCCAGAATTCGGAGCTTAGGGCATCAGTCTGTTGCTACAGAGTTGATTGTGTTGTTACCCCTTCAACACCCGGCTGAGAGAAGAGGTGACAGAGAGCGACAAATGAGGCATCACGCGTACCTTTCCAACTAGCCATGTGGGCTTCTCAGGGTAGGCAGGGTAGCTTCACGCACCCTGATTGGAATCAGGTACACAATCAGTTATGCCCCCACCCCACCCTGTAAATCAACTCTGCGTCAGTTTCACCTGCTGGCTTTCAGAGGCAAAATCAGCCACAGAAAGGATGACTAACATGGTATAAAAATAGATCCTAATTTTCATATGAAACAGCTGGAAGTTCCTCTGCGGTCAAGTGGGTGCAACCGAGAGCCGAATTTGGCCCCGTATAAACATTTAATAGAACAGTTATTACCAATGATTAAACGTTAGCTAGTTATTTAGCACCAATACCAGACCCTTTGTTGTCAAGATCCCATTGATTTCAATGGAGTTAGGCCAGCAGGGCTTTGTATTCAGTGCCGTGTGGCACATACAGATAAAGAGCTTCCGCTTGAGAAGGTAGACACAACAAACAGTTAATACATATCTTTTAATTCCGGCAAAAATCTGCAAAAGTGACTAGAGATTTTGAAGACCTGGCTTGAGACACCCAAGTGCGCCCCACTCATCGGGAACTCCGCAGTACATAGAGCTCTCCGGGAGATTTCCAAACCCTCAGTGCCCAGAGGTTTTCAGAACAGCCAGCTGCCAATGAGGCAGGGGAAGGTGAAGCTCTTGTAAATTTCCTAGACTCTGGGTGGGCCCCATATTGCTGACGAACAAGGAAAAGAACCAATGCTAAATGTTTTAGCTTTAAATTCTGGTCGCTGCTCTGCATACATACCATGGAGGAGACAGAGCGTTAATCACCACTTAGACTCATGACACCTTTTTGTCTGACAATAATGAGTCAGTAATAAATTAACCAATTAATTACAGATGTGCAGCACTTTTCATCTTCCCCTGGCTTTACAACACTCTTCTATCAGTTGCTCTTAAAGCACTTTAAAAAAGAGGGATCGTTAGTCCCATTTTATAGAGGGGGAAACTGAGGCAAGTGACTTGTCCAAGGTCACCCAACTTGCCAGTGACTGATCCAGGAATGTAACCCAGCTCTTCTGAGTCCCAGTCTAGTGCTCTACCCACTGCATCACACTGCCTCTCTGTGCACCTTTGAGGTAGGAGGCTCAGGCATAGACTGAGAATGCAGCATCCCTCGCAAGGACTGCACAGAGCTTCCCAATGCCTGTGAGACAGCCACAACAGGGACAGGGGTTGAATTTCCTTTTGTCTAAGGGGAGCAATGTTTGCTGCGCTGACGCATACCCATGGTTAACCATTTCTCAGGCTGTCAGCACATACATTGCGGCTGGATCCTCCCTCTGCTTTTAGTGGTGGGGGGATTGGGAAAGGCCAAAGATCCAAACACTCCAGGCTAGGGACTGCCTTTGTTCTACTCATTCATACAGCACCTTGTACGATAGGGCCCTGATCTTTGACTGAAGCCTCTAGGTGCTACCACCCTATCAATAATAACCATTGTCTGTTCTGCGTTTGTAGAGCACCCAGCGCAGGGGGGTCCTGATGCAGCACGAGGGCTGCTGGGTGCGCTGGTAATACAAAGAATAAATAAAGAATAATGGTTTGTGCAATGTGCCTGCGAGGCCCATCAGTGTATCGGCTCCTGCTGATCACGGTGTCCTGTTCTTTGTGTCTTTCCTTTCTCAGAAACAGTGACGTTTTCCCCGGAGAAGCTATCCTTGCCTGTGGGCGACACAGCCAGCTTCTTCTGCAATATTACCACGGCGAACTTCCCTCAGTTTGATTATAGTTTAAACTGGTACAAAAAGATCAATTCCACTTACACACAAAAAATTGCTGAGTTTAATGGGAATGCAAATAAATTCCCGAAGGAGAAATTCACCCTTATCAACCATACCTCGTCTGTTGAGATAAGGATTCTGCACCTAACTGAGAATGACAGTGGCAAGTACTACTGCGGGCTGATCGCTTTCTCCTCGCCCAGTAAAGTGGTGGAAAGCAACGTGTCCCAGCTCATAGTTACAGGTTTGTTTCAAAGACAGTATAACGAGCAAGCCTGTATGCGTGTCTACCGCAGCCCTCTGCTGGAGGGGCTCAGAGCAGCCCAGCTGTGTGCCAGAGACCCTGCGTTAGTGGTAGGGGCTTGTGCTTTTGGAGCGGGAGAGGCTGAGCTCTGTCCTCCTTGCTGCGGGGAAGTTCCAGGCATCCATGCGACGCAGTGAGGCTGAAGATTTGCTACAATGCTCTGTTGGCCTGTGGGCTGAGTGATATTTCCAGTCCAGAATTCCCCCCACCCCGTGATGCCCTAACGAGCTAGGTTAGAATGTGCAGTTCCCAGCTGCTCAAATCAATCAGCATCTCTGGCTGTGGAGTTCGTGTCTGCTGGTGGTCAGCCAGAGCCTTCGCTTGCTGCTCTGCAGGGTGTATGTCGGGGCTCCTCTTTCCAACCAATATATTACGGTAGCACCCAAAGGCACCACTCCGGGACCACGGACCCCAGGGTTAGACACTGTTACGTGTGATTTCCTGGCCAGAGTGAAAGTAGTAATGGTCTCTGGTGTGATGTTTATAAACCACACGGCCACATTTCCAGCAGCTGACCTGAATCAAGGCCAGATCTGTGCTGGGGCAGGCCCCACTGGGCTTACTGCGGGTAACTGAAAGCAAGTTGGTGGGGGGAGAGCTTGACCCACATCAAGCACCCGGTGCACAGTTGTGATACTTCAGAAATAATAAACCGTGGCATTTTACCTGGCAGCAGTCACTCCGCCATGGATATTTTCTTATTTTACTGTCCCAGCCCAGCTAATTATCTGCTGCCACTATAAGGACCTCTCACCCATGGCCACATGCTTCCTGACACCACAGTCAACAGGGAGGTGGAAGCCCAAGTCCATAAGCATCTCTTGTCCTTCCGCTAAAGCCCAGCTCCTTTACGTTGCATGTTTTAGATGCTGAAGGCTCACGCCCCTGACAACCCTGTTGTCTGTATTTATGCAGCTGTCGCGTATTAGAAAAGGGTGCTGCAGGTGGAGTTTGAACTCCTGTAGATCTAAGATGCATGGGACGAGCAGGGACTATTATTATTATTATTATCTTTTATGGAAGCACCAGTGAGGCCCCATCATGGGCCAGGACCCCATGGTGCTAGGCGCTGTACAGACACAGATCAAAAAGCCGATCCCTGCCCCACAGAGCTCACAGTGTAACATAGGTGCTGGAACTCGGGATGCGTGGGGGGTGTGCAGCCCCACCACATCCCCTGGCTTGAAGTGGTTTCCATTATATCCAGGGCTTACAGTTTGGTTCAGTGGCTCTCAGCACCCCCGCTATACAAAATGTTCCAGCACCCCTGACGTGTCAGAGTGCAATACCTGCCCTTTAGAGCTGGATGAAACTTTTCAATCCCATTTTTTGGGGTCAAAAGTGGCCTTTTTAGAAAGGAAAAATGTTGTGAAAAACCGTTTTTGGTGATGGTTTTGATCGAAGACATAGAAACGGTCATTGAAATGGCTATCGGCATTCTTTCGTTTGCCAAACACAGGGGGGAGGGGGCTTTTATGCTCACCAAAAGCACGTTTGTCAGTAAACAACATCGACCACTTCAGGAATCTTTTTGATTTGAAAATGTCATGAAAGTTTTTGAAAAAAAAAAAAAGAGAGAGAAAAAGGGCCATTTGCAGCCTGTGAAATGGAAATATTTCAATTTGTTCTGTGAATTAAATTGCCCCCCCCACCAATCTAGCAGCTCTAATTGCCTTAGTCCGTGTGACTATGTGTCCCTCTGGCAAACAACTCAAGTGACTCTGACAGCCTCCTACTTACACAGAGCTAATGGGATTACACCTGTATCTCCCAGGTCCCTCAATGGCTATTAGTCAAGAGGGTCAGGGATACAACCCCATGCTCTGGGTGTCCTAAGCCTCTGACTGCCAGAAACTGGACAACAGGGGATGGATCACTTGATAATTGCCCTGTTCTGTTCATTTCCTCTGAAGCACCTGGCATTGGCCATGGTCAGAACACAGGATACTGGGCTAGATGGACCATTGGTCTGACCCACTATGGCCATTCTTATGTTCTTATCTCAGCTGATACAGATGTGTGCTGGGTGCAAAGGTTCTGGGTTTGGCTGCTAATATTGATGGATGGTGCCTGCACATATGTGGCCACCAGTTCGTTACACAGTCTTACACTGGGCCAGAGCCTCTTCCAGCTCACCTTATTACCCAGAACCGCCGAATCGAATGGAGGCAGGGGGACACGGGGTTACTTTGAGTACAAATGTTTCATCTTGCCTTTGTTTTGATCAAATGAAATAGAAGATGGAGCTAAGCAGGGGCCTGGACTGATTGGGTGGCACTAGGAAGATCTAGGAAGACAGGGCTGGAAGAGACACTCTGGGTCATTGAGTCCATTCCCCGGCTGTCACGGGCAGTCCCGTCATACGACCCCACGGTGTGACGACAGCACCAGTGCTAGGTCTGACAAACGGTGTGAAATTCACCTCTGTCCAGCGGGCTGGCGCAAGCCGGGAACACCAGTTAAGTCCTGCTTATGCCACAGGTTGAAACTCAATGGGTGTAGGGCTCCCTTAAGAGTTGTGAACTCCAGCCATGGGGTGCAAACGACAGATCAGTGGCGCTGAGGCTGGGCCGTGGCCCCTCTGTGAGGAGGCAGAGGGGGCGGCTTGTCGTGCTGGAGGAGAGGACTTGGTTTGCTTTGTATTTCACAGAGACTGCAGTGGTTCTCCTTTTTTATTTGCAATTCCCTAGAAGGAGGGCCCACCACCATTCCCAACGTGACCGAGGACAACCAGGCGGGCGACTTTAAAGTGCCAGTCATCATTGGCGTGAGCATCGCTGCGGCCATGCTGCTGGGGCCGATCACCTATGTGCTCTTCATCACCACGCGCCGGACGGGAGGTGCGTCGTGGCAGGGCGAGCGCGGCCCCGGCAGTCTGCTGCCCTTCCCAGCTGGTGCCTCTGCTGGGGGAAAGCCAGGGCTAGCTGGAGAAAAAAGGGTGCAGGACAGGAGGGGTGCTTAGGGACTGTGGTGAGCAGAGGCTTGTATAGACGGACCCGACAGGACCACTGTGGATGGGAGGGCTAGCTCAGCCATTCTGCCTCCATCCCGAGAGGTGCTGAGTGCCGTGGAGCTTGGTGGGCCGAACGCTGAGGCCCTTCCGGGGTGTTAACGCGGGCAAAATTCCCCTTGGCTTCACTGGGAGTGGACAGTGCTCAGCGCCTCCCAGGATTGGGCCCCCACTCTCTGACATTCCCCCAACCCCGCATTAGACTGGCTCAGCCCATTGTAGGGCCAGTGTGGGGGACGGGACAAGGAGCCTACCCCCTGCCTGGAGCCCCTGTGTAAAGGGCAGCTAGCCCCCAGCCCTGCAGGCGTGTGGCTGGCTCCCTGTCTGGGTTGGGCAGGGCTGTGGCCTGTGGAGCTGGCTCTGCGGTCCCAAGGGAAGGCGTGGTGGGTGCCCTTCCACGGGAGTGGGGTTGTGCCTCCCCCAGAGCTCTCCTCCACGCTGCCCCTTCCTCAGGCCTGGGCCTTAGTGAGCCCACAGTGGGCAGGGCTGTCTGAGTGCAGGGTCCCCAGCTGTTCAGCTTGTCTGGTCCGTCAGCCCCACAGCCACTCAGTGCAGCGCTCTGTCCCCGTCCAGCGGCGGCTGGACTCGATGAGCCTGCTGCAGCCTCGGCTAGCAGAGCTGGGGCGTATTGACTGTGTATCCATCGGCTGGTCTCTCCACTAGGCAGGCTGAACGTTGGCTGCTGGCTACCAGAAACTGAGGGCGCAGCGTGGCCAGGGAGACGCCCGGCGGCTGCCCAGAGACCTGTGAGGAGATTCCAGCCCACCAGTCCCAGCAGGGCTCTTCAGCCTTGATACCTGGGCTAGTGGCTTGGATCCAGGAGCTCAGCTCCTCACACATGCTCATGGCATAAGAACCTGAACAGAGCAGAATAGGGTCTGGCCCTAGTGATCAATTGCTCATGATCAGGGCGTTAGAGTAGACAAACAGGGCACGATTCTCCGCACAATGGGTCTCTGCTCCAGAATGCTGGGCCCAGCCCTGCAGTTCGTGCGCTGGTGACTCTCCTGCTGACTTTCAGGAGAGCCTAGGGGACGTATGTCTGGATTGGTGGATGCCGGCACACCCTCCAGTGGGATCTTGCACAGGGAAGGGGCTGGTGTGGGGTGGAGTCTGTGCAGCCCCAGAGTCGTTTGCAGGGAGCTGTAATGCTGCGGGAAGCTGAGCTAAGTCTGACGCCCACTCCCCCCTGTGATGTTCGCTGCAGCCCAGCTCCTGTGCATGGTCTAACCAAATGTGTTACTTTGCAGGGCAGCAGAAACCACATCGTGAAAACGCACTCTTGGTAAGTTCCCTGTCACTCACGTGCGGCTGCACTGCTGTGGAGTGTCGCCAGGCGGGAAAGAACCTGGACTTGCCAGGTCTTTAGTAGCAAGTGCCCAGATTTACGCCAGGACCGCAGGCAGAACTGCACAATGCCATAGCTTCTCACCCGTCCCCACAGCCCAGTCCGAGTCCTTCAAGGGCCAGTGCAACCAGGCACCTTCCAGCAAATGAGGAGAAACGAGAGAGAGAAAAGAAACAGAATGAAAGACTCTTAGATGCAGCCAAAGTACTTTGGTTTGCAGCCAATGTATCATTATTATCAATAATCATAATGGATTGACTATCTATTTATATGGCCCCTTTTATCTCCAAATAGCCCCCAGCGTTCTGAGCAGCAACACAAACACTTCTGATAAGGATTGCTAATGTGGTGTGTGTCGGTGTTCAGCAGCCCCATGGCACAGCGAAGAATATTGCATTGGAAATAGCCAGGGGGAGAATGCAATTCTCTGAGCTGCAGTTGGACTGGGACAATTGGATTAACGTCCCTCCTCTTGATAAAAGGGCCATGGGTGTGTGGACCTTGATTATATGTCAGCCCCCAAAGGTGGCACCCGCAGCTCACAGTGTGTCCGACTGCCACGCTGGGACACCTGGGCCAGCCTTGACGCAGAGAGGAGTGCTCCCTGCAAAATCACTAGCACCTCCTGTCCTTTGCAGACGTCCTGTCCAGTTACTAGCCAAGTCCAGTCCTCTGAGTTTGTGAGAGCTGATGGGATTACAGTGCAAGGTGCTTTGACTGCAGCCTTGCTGAGTTCATAGAGTTGGTTGCTCTCTAATAATGCCTTATAGTGAGAGACTAAAGAAGCTCAATCTATTTAGTTTATCCAAGAGGAGGTTAAGAGATAACTTGATCACAGTCTGTAAGTATCTACCCAGGGAAGAGATTGAATCTGGCAGAAAAAGGCATGACTGGAAGCTGAAGCTAGACCAATTCAGACTAGAAGCCTAGTGCATGTTTTTAATTCAGGGTCATTAACCACTGGAGCCACCTACCTGGGGAGGTGGTGGATTCTCCATCTTGTAGAATCTGTACATAGAGGCTTTTAAAAAGGTACCCTCCTGCTCAAAGAGAAGTTCTGGGCTTGAGGCAGGAATTATTGGCTGAGGTCCTCTGGCTTGTGCTATATGGGAGGTCAGAATGGCCGGTCACTGTCGTCTGTTCTGGCCCTAAAAGGTCTGAATCTGTGGGAGCATGCCTGCGTGTGCCTGTGTGTGGGGTACATAGAGAAGCCAGGCGTGTGTGGATGTGACTCTTCGTAAGCATGCCCCCTCTTGTTGTTGTGCAGAAGAAAGAACAGGTGACGACCTACACAGTGGATTATGGCGTGTTGGAATTCCAGCAGGAGGAGCACACAGAGGCTCCGGTGGAGAGTTACCCACCCGACAACACAGAATATGCCGTCATCGTGTTCCCTGAAGAGAAGCCTGTCACCCCGGAAAGGGGGAAGAAAACGAAACACCAGAGGACCTGTCAAATCTGAGCCCAGCCCTGCTGATGGGTCAGGAGCCCGACCGTGCTTCTCCTTCTCCTTTGTCCTCTCTTTACAGCTTTCTCGGAGGCTTTCGGACAGGAAGGCCTGGCGGCAGCATCTGCACTATTTGTGCACGCTGCGCCCGGTTGTACGTCAGCCCCTGACTCTCCTTCTTCCCCGATTTGGACAGCCGCTCGGATGACTGACATTTTACGGCAGCCGTCATCGGGATCCTTCCCTCCTCCGCAGGTCGCAAGCAATTGTTTGCTGCTAAGGAAGACATGTGGTCAGAACACGCTTCAGGGTCTGGACTAATGGACATGTGGTTCGAGCCCTGTGCTGCCGTGGCGGAGAGCCATGTTCAATCCCGGTCCTTGGTTTCTTGCGCTGCAGGGGTGTATCGTGGAGGCGGCATGATCCAGCCCTGGGGGTGGGGGAGAAAGAGGTAGAGTCATGTGTCACTCAGCAGTTACCCTATTGGTCAGTGATGCTGGGCTCCAAAGAGAAGCCTTGCCAGTCCTCCTCGTTCATTAGGATGGTGGTGGCAAAGCTGGGTCTAAAGGATGGGAGAGGGTAAACCGGTGGAAAAGCGTGGGATCTTTAGGGCTGGAAGGTGGATGCAGGGGAACCTGCTGGAAGATGCTACCATAAACCGTTAGAGCCCAATTCTGCCTTGCTTATGGTCTAGGGATACAAGCTGCCACCTCACAGATAAACTAACGCTGACCTGCAGCTCTGATATTTCAGTCCTTGGGCTCCCCAGTCATGCCAAACGGAGCGCAAACCTGCCTCTTTTGACTTCCTGCTGGGTTTGACCCGACTAAGAAATCTTAACATTGGGAGAAATTCGTGAATGCATGCCACTGGCTGCAGTGTAAAAGGATACTATGAAACAGATTGCAGCTCTGATGGGTTCTCATCACCACAGGGGCTGCAGCACCCAGCTGAAGTCAGTGGGTCTTCTTGGGTGCAGCGGACTGGAGCAGGTTGCTCCTTCTGTATTGTACCGAGCTAGGGGCTTCTCCTAGCTTTGTGTGAGAAGCTGCGTTGCATGTAACTGTTTATTTAAAAAGACTAGTGGGAAATGTACTGTAATGTGTTTTTTCTTTTCTGTAGTTTTTGTCACATATTTGCACTTGAAATTTAAGAGCTCCAGGTGGATGGAGCTGGATTGGCACCAAATCAGGTAGAAATCTGACCAGTGCACAGGCAGAGGAGATGGCAAGAAGGCCGAGTGATTCTAGTGAGGCACAGAGACTGTGAAACTCTTAGGAATGCCTTACTTCTTGACCAGCCCTGCCGGACTCAATGGGGCTGTTAGAACAGTAAGGTGTCACTCCTGGGGTTCACAGTCAACCTGGGGGCTTGATCCTGTTGAGTGGGTGCTTTGCCCTTAGCTTCGGCTACAGGGAGATCAGGACCCAGGAATTTACACTGAAGTGGTTGAAGGTCTTTGTGAATAAAAAGAAGCTTTAACTTTACCTTCAGTTTTGTTCCTTGCTTCTGGACTAATATGTGGTGAGGAAAAGGCTGGAGATTGGGCTGGGGCTGGGGCTGTCTTTTTGTCCTGTGTCTGTACAGCACTTAGGGCAAGGGAGTCTGCAAAAAGGGCACAGAAACCAACACTGGAAGACAAAAGACATACCAGGGAATGGACATGCCTGTGATCTAAACTGACTACACATCGCTAAGAACAGGGGCGGCAGGTTTGTATAATTTTTGGTGATGCCCAGAATGGTCCAAGTCCCGCCCTGCTCCCTCCACAGCTGCCCAAGGCTCTGGGAGGGAGTTTGGATGCGGAAGGGGGTTTGGGGTGCAGGCTCTGGGACGAAGTGTGGGTGTGGGAGGGGTTCGGGCTCTGGGATGGAGTTTGGGTGTTGGGTGCAGGCTCTGGGCTGGGGCAGGGATGAGGAGTTTGGAGTGCAGCAGGAAGGCTGCCCTGGGGCTGGGGCAGGGGGCCAGAGAGGAGAACTCCCCCCAGTCCTCTCCCTGCCAGCAGCAGCAAGCTCTGGAGGAGAGGGGGACAGGGGGCCCCCTCCCCAGCACGACACTCACCCAAGCCCTCCTAAGCTGCTGCTCAGGAGGTCCAGTCAGGCTAAGCCCCCCCCCCCACCTTGGAGTCAACTCGGAGTTGCTTGCTGCCCGGGGCGGGGGGGGGGGGGGCTGCCATGCACCTGCTCCCCTCCTCCCTCTGAAGGCGCAGCAGCCACCTCAGCCTGCCCCCAGCGCCATTCCCTTGTAGCGGCCAGCGAGGGAGTGCAGTGCAGAGCTGCAGGGGGCAGCTGCTCGCTGCCCAGGGCAGGCAGGGACGCTCAGGGGAGGCACGCGGGGGCGGCAGGCGGGGCCGGGGAGAGACCAGATCCTGAACATTGGTGGAGCCGGGCCCCCTGGGCCCTGAATTTGCTGGACCCCAGGCACCACGGGCCCATATAACTCGCCGCCCCTGCCTAGGAAAGGATCAGTAATAACCAATCTCTCATGCATATTGAGTGCTGCCCATTGGTTTCTTTTTCTTACCACTGACTGAATTACCTCATGAAATCTCAAATTCCCAGAGAGGGTTACATCCTACAAATCCTTCGCTCACATGAGTGGCCCTGGAGGGCAGGTTTTGGGATCCAACCAGTGCGGGGTATCTGTGGATGTGAGGTCTATCAGAACTGGTCAGCTGGTAGGATTAGGGCCACAGAGCCCACTTGGACATTCATCGAATCATAGAAATGTTGGCTGGAAGGGCTCTCGAGAAGTCATCAAATCCAGCTCCCTGTGCCGAGGCAGGACCAAGTAACCCTAGACCGTCCCTGACAGGTGTTTGTCCGACCTGTTCATAAACGCCTCCAACGATGGGGATTCCACAACTTCCCTTGGAAGCTTGTTCCGGAGCTTAACTACCCTGAGGGTTAGAAGGCTTTTCCTAATATCTAACCTACATCTCTCTTGATGTAGATTAAGCCCATTATGTCTTATCCGACCTTCAGTGGACATGGAGAACCATTGATCACAGTCCTCTTTAAAACAGCCCTTAGTATATTTGAAGACTGTTACCAGGTCCCCCATGAGTCTTCTTTTCTCAAGACTAAATATGCCCTGTTTTCTTAACCTTTCCTCATAGGTCAGCTTTTCTAAATCTTTTATAGTTTTTCTTGGTCTTCTCTGGACTCTCCAATTTATCCACATCTTTCTGAAAGTGGGGCACCCAGAAATGGAAACAGTACCTCAGCTGGGACCTCCCCAGTGCTGAGTAGAGCAGGACAATTACTTCCTGTGTCTTAAATACAACACTCCTGTTAATACACCTCAGAATGACATTAGCCTTTTTCATTAATGCATCACACTGTTGACTCATATCCAATCTATGATCCACCAGAACCCCAGATCCTCTTCTGCACTATCACCTAGCCAGTTATTCCACATTTTTAGCTGTGCATTTGCTTTTTCCTTCCTAAGTGCAGTCCTTTGCACTTGTCTCCACTGAATTCCATCTGGTTGAATTCAGACCAATTCTCTAATTTGTCAAGATCATTTTGACTCCTAAGCCTGTCTTCCAAAGTGCTTGCAACATTGTGCGGTCTGGTCTCAAACCGGACTGAGGACCCCTGCGTGTGTGTGAACAACCTCCCTGGAGCCAAGTCGTGAAGGGCTTCTTGCATGAGCTAAGCTCTGTCGCCTCAGACCCGAAGACTGTACAGCAAGTGGGCTGGGGACAAGTCACCAAACTGAAAGAGTTCTGATAAGCATCAGCCATTTGCTTTTAATAGTGAGCCCAGGCGATATTTGCTGAGTGCATCAGAAAGCACAGAAGACGTGGAGGCCACGGGGGTGGAGTGCTAACTCAGTCAGCAGTTTTGTTTTTCGCTTTCCCGTAAGACCTGACACTTTCTAGATGCAGCCCCGGGACCGGTTCACTTTTTCCACTCTGCCTCCAGAGCAGAGAGAGGAATCGGAACTTCAGGGCGTTGCTGGCCGCGCGATTGCAGTCATGTGCTGCGGTCTGCTGAGCGCACACACGTGTTTGTGGATGGACCCTGCCAGGTGCTGGTTTACTTCTCCCTGTGCTTTCCACCAGCCAAGGAAACACAGTTTGGGGCTGTAGTGTGGGGGGGCAGGGGCCAGGAATAAATGGCCTCCTGGAAAACAAGGGTGTTTGCCAAGGGTAGTTTAAGGAAGTTTGAGACATATTCTGGACACACGGAATGAAGTGCTAGTATCATGGCTCCCCTGGCACTAAAAGCACAAGTCTCAACCACTTCAGCTAAAGGAGAAACTCCATTAGTAACAGCAGTAGTAGGCTCTTATCCTCTTTACAGACAAGCCACTAGCGTGGGACAGGACACAGACACTGGGCTAGTGTGGCTTTCAGCAGTAGCTGAACAGAGGATTCCTTAGCCAACCTGCTTGCACAGGGCAGGATGTCATAGGACAGCCAGGGAGGTAAAGTCCTGCACTGCTCCTTGCTGTCGTTCAGAGCAGCGTTCGCTCCTTTCCGGAACCTGCTGCTGGTAACAGCATCTTTGCTGGAGGTCTGGCTCTGGCCTCCCACCTTCTGGCTATGGATAAATGGAGCATTGGGAGGTGCATAGCCGGATACCCCACCCCACCCCACCCCATGATTCTGCTCCCCCAAAGCCAATGGTATAACTCCCAGTGACGTCACAGGGAGCATGGGGGTTAAACCCGTGGGTCCTTCGTTGTCCCTGCTCCTGTGCCGTTGCACTGGGTAGGGATGGGGAAGGGTCTTTCCCCCCATTTCTGCCCCATCACACCTGTAGGAGGCTGGCCAGGATTTTGCCCATCAGCTGGGCACCACCTTCTTGCTGAGGAAGGGCGGATGCAGCTGGGGTGGGGGCATGGCAGGCAGCGGCATTGGGAGCCAGGTGTCAGCAAACGATGCATGTCCCAGCAGTGCCTCTGAGACAGCTCCCAGCGTGCCTGGCCCAGCGGGGTGTGGTGTGGAGAGGAGGGAGCCCCCCGTGAGGCTGCAAAGCAATGAACAGAGAGGGGAAGCAGAGAGGAGGGGACAGACCGTGCGTGGGGAGGGCACAAAGAACCTTCCCCTCTTGTGCCCCCAATACCAGAGCCAGGTACAATTGCAGCCCTGAGCTCAGGGAATGGTCCTTCTTAGTGGGGGAAGGAGCCAGGTCTGTCCAGCACCCGGCATAACATGGCCTCCCATCCCAACTGGCACCCAGAAGCCCCACAGTCATAGAAATAGGAAAACGTTAAGGAAAGGGCAGGGAAGAGGCAAGACCATGGGCCATTCCCATTCGCACCAGCCAGCAGAGCCTATAGGATGTGCCGTGGAGAGCAGGTGGGGTCCTCCTCAAGGTGCGTCGGTGGGCGAGCTCATGGCATGTCAGGAGGGACACCAGCGGGGTAATCTTTCCTAGAGCTCCCCTGGGCCGGTGCGGCTCTGCACCCGATGCAGGCCACAATCTGACCCTCTTCTTTCACCCAGTCTTGCTCTCCGCTCAGGCTGAGCACGGGCGTGCGTTGAGCTCATAATCTTCCTTCCCAGGCCATGGGCTGCGACTGCCGTTGGGCATTGAGGCTGTGAAGGAAACGAGAAAGAGGAAGGGAAGGAAGGGCCGAGGGGATGGAAGGGGGTTGTGGGGACGGGGCTTTGCTCATTCTCAGAACAGGAGCAGGCCCCCTCGTTGGCTCCCCCTCCAGCAGGAGATCATGGAGAGGATGTTCGTGCAGGCAGCTCCAGTTCCACTTCACACGAAACCGAGAAAATCAATACGGGAGGTTCAGGCACATTGTCATTTTCCACGCGGGCTCCCCAGGGCCAGGGGCCGTTCGCCTGCAGAGCTGCTGGCCGTTCAGCAGGAGGTTCCACACCAAACATCTCTCTGGAGAGCCTGCAACTGCTGCATAGGTGGGGCACCCGAAAGACAAGGAGCTCGGCCTCCCTCACACAGAACTCTGCTGATGCTCCTCAGCACCCCCTGCTGGTCTAATCCTGGCCCTCTCCAGCTCTGCCCTGGCACGATGGGCGGGCAGCCCCCAGTGCTATCGCAGTCCTGTGGTCCCCTGCACACAGCTCTGCTGACGCCCTCACTCCTGACCTTCAGCGCCCCCTGCTGCTCCAGTTCTGCAGGTCTTTAGAGGACAGGCTGGCAACAGTATTGAATGGCCGGGTAAGAGTTGCTGTGTCCACCCTGCACTAAGCTGAGCCCCAGCAAACTCATTTTCACTTATGATCCTAAGGCAAGCTTGGTCGTGGATCCTCCAGAGGGGAAAGGCTAATGCTGCAAGGTCACCTCCCCACCCCCGTTTATCAGCTTGGCTTTCCCAGCGGACAGAAGTTGCCTACAGGCCATGCAAAGGTCGAAGATGCCAGCAGGCTGCAGTTTGGTAGCAGGGAGACCTCTGGCCTTTCAGGAACGTTCACTTTGCTAAACTGGCTGGTTGGTCTTTCTAGGAACAGAGATAAGACAGGG